GGTGTTGGGACAAAAGTGGTATGTTGGCAGATACTGGTAATTAATTCACTTGCATCTTTCTTTAGAGAAGGTGAACCTATATTCTTTTTTTTTTAAACTTTTTAAATGTTTGTTTATTTTTGGGAGAGAGAGAGACAGGGAGGGCGAGTGGGAGAGAGGCAGACAGAGAGGGAGACACGGAATCCGAAGCAGGCTCCAGGCTCCGAGCTGTCAGCACAGAGCCCGATGCGGGGCTCGAACCCATGCACCGTGAGATCATGACCTGAGCTGAAGTCGGACACTTAACAAGAACCTGTATTCTAAAAGGGAAAAAAAAAAAAGCCACAAAAGTATTATGAGATGGTTCCATTGCAAAGAAGTAAACAATACGGGCGGATTTTACAAGTTAAAATCTATACGAACACCTTTGGATCCAAATCACTCGGTAAAACTCTGGGATTCTGATCGGTTTCAGAAGGAGTGCCATGATCGAAAAAATAAAGAGAAAATGCTCGCTTTGAGGAGAGCGGCTGTGCAGTTGTTCTAAAGTAGAACAAGTAATCCAGTAAAATCCTAGGGCACACAAATAATATGGAATGGCACGGATGACCATTAATGGCTTCGTTCGGGCAGGGTGTGGATGAAATCATTAAAATGGCAGAATTGTTGAGTGCAGAATGTGAGCCTGTGGGAGCTAAAAACAAAGCATGTAACATGTATCAAAGCAAATGGTATCAAAATGATGACCCAGCACTTTTCACATGGTATTTACTTTGTAAAAGATACTGTGTGTTAAGAAACTGGTGATAGTGGTGCGCTGGTCTACGAAGGAAGGATAAACATTCTTGTGAAAATGTTGCATCAATCAGGAAAATAAAAGTGCATTTCAGGCCCGACTGGAAGTATTGCGGTGATGACTGAAGAATCTATTTTTAAAATAGCGTCATTTATTTATTATGAGCTTTGACAAGAGGCATAAACAACCCTCCTCGTAATGAATGTGATCATTGTAACTCCTTCTCCTAGAATTGTCTGTATGCTATGCTTCCTGTAAATATTGGATTCAATCAAATCACGGAGAATATGATTTAGATGTAAATATAATTCCCTCATTTAAAATATGTGAATACTTTTTCTGGAGAGAGGGCTTCAAAGAGAAGACCGATTCTTACCTGTGTGGCGTTGTCTTGGAAAGCGTGAGCTACGCACAGCTAATGAAATGGATTGCATCGTGTTTTCTTTCTAGTCGGACAAGCAGGAGGCATGCCGGAGGTGGGTGCAATCCGGCAAGAGGTTGATCACTGTTGTAAACAAATCGTCCAGAGAATGTGTGCATTTATTTTCAGGAGTCAAGGTCACATTTTAAAATATTTGTATTTGTATTTTTTGTAATGTTTATTTTGAGAGAGAGAGAGACAGACAGTGCACGAGGAGGGGAGGGGCCGGAGGACAGAGAGGGAGACACGGAATCGGAAGCAGGCTCCAGGCTCTGAGCTGTCAGCACAGAAAGTTTTTGAAACCATACGTAAGAAGTATGGTTATTCTCCCAGCTGTAGGTTAGTATGTCTGTTAACATAAATGTGTCTCACAGCCCCTCAGTCCTGATTTTTAATTTGAATAAGATTGAAATTTGGGGGCATCAATCATGCCTAATTTAGATTTTAAATGTGGACTATGGGACTTCTAGCCACGGTGAAATAACAGGAACCCAACTCCTACCTGATAGACCTAAAAATACGAATGAAAACTATGAAACAATTTTCGGTTTATTAGACATCTGGCCGTGAAGGACAGCGACCTCTAAGAGATGGAAAACAAAGGAGGTAAGTTCTAGGGCACCCTAGTTGATTTGCCCAGGAGGATAATGCATGTGTGCAAGGCGGGGGGGGGGGGGCCCCTGGACAGTCTCCTTGAGTTCAGATGGAGCCAGGAGTCCAGGAAGGCCAGGGTAGCTAAAATTGGCAGGACAGGATGCTAAGAGGAGATTGCTGTACAGAAAGAGAACTCTGGAAATCACACAGGGCTGGGAGTAATTCCTGTTCCCATTAGAGTAGAAACCCTCATAATTTGTGTGGCATTAGGGTACTTGACAGGGTTCTGCCTTTGCAGTGAAAACATGGGTACAACGTCAGGGAAGGCCCTCTGTGTTATTTATTGCCTTTTTTGTGTTTTTATTTTTTAATATTTTTTAAATGTTTATTTTTGAGAGAGAGCACGAGTGGGGGAGTGCCACAGAGAGGGAGACACAGAATCCGAAGCAGGCTCCAGGCTCCGAGCTGTCAGCACAGAGCCCGACACGGGGCTCGAACTCACAAACCGTGAGATCGTGACCTGAGCCGAATTTGGACACTTAACCGACTGAGCCACCCAGGCACCCCTATTGTTTTTGTTTTTGTTTTTTAGAGAGAGAGCACATGAATGTGAGTGCGAGTGGGGGTCAGGGGCAGAAGGAGAAAGAGAATCCTAAGTAGACTCTACACTCAGCACTGAGCCCGATGTGGGGCTCGATCCCATGAACCTGGGATCATGACCTGAGCCGAAATCAAGAGACGCTCAAGTGACTAAGCGACCCGGGCACCCCGACTTTTGTTTTTTAAACCAGAGCTAACATGTCCACCAAAGAAACAATTGTTCACCTCCTAGGACTCAGGGGTTTTAGGGATTCAGCCCCTGTAGTTGTTTGCTTACACAGTGGTTTCCGTGGTGTTTCCTCCTCCACTACCTAGGAGAGATGTTTTGGTGTTTGACCATCTAGGTGAGCTTGTTCATTTGCTGATGTCATCAGTGGCCGGTTTCAAATAATATGTCTTATTAGACTCTTACCTGCAAATATCAGTGTGGTTTCAAGAACCATCCCTAAAGTCAGGGCTATAGCCTAAGAACCAGATTGTGAGCAAATCAGACTCTACTTGCCAGCTCATTTGAAAGTGTGCTGCAGACACCAGGAGAGGCGCTCAGGCATCTGACCATCCTCCAAAGTACACTTTTACTGCTAAGGGCCTGTTGCTATCGGGGTTCCGGAAAGAGGGATGGCCAGCCAGTGGGACATCCTTCTGCAGAGAGTCTGGGGGAAGGCAGGCGATTGGGGCTGTTCATTGGGAGCACAGGTCTCCAAAGGAAGAAAAAGTGATGAGCGGTCAGCAGGCCGGATTCTAGAGCTGGACAGGGAGGCAGACAGAGGGAGATCAGGGGAAGGGTGCGGTCACGCAGGAAGGTGCCGGGATTGAGACACACACCAGCACGTGGGCAGTCACCTCCCCAGGAGCTCTGGGGCTCAGGCAGGCCGGACGGTAGGGAAATAAAGCCCGGACAGTCCACAGACAGTGTTTGATTCTCATTGTCCCCTTCCTTCTTTGGGCCTACTTTGGACACAGGGACCTTCTCTTTGTTGCCTGAAAGACATTGGAAAGAAATGAGCCAGAAGACAGAAAGGTGAGCCTCAGGCTGGGAGGAGGGAGAACAGCCTGGGTTTAGACGAATTCAGACCAGGCATCTAGCCCCAGCCCTGTCACGTAGGAGACATGTGACCTTGGGCAAACTGCCAAGTGCTGTGAGCATTAGGTTCTTTACCTGTGAAGTGGGCTTGATGAGTCCTGTCTTGTAGGACCTGCTAGAATGATATATTGGCACAGTGCGTGGCTTTTATGGGATCTTTTAATAGCCGTGACTTTTTTTTTTAATGTTTATTTTTGACAGAGCGTAAGCAGGGGAGGGGGAGAGAGGGGGACAGACGATCGGAAGCTGGCTCTGAGCTGTCAGCACAGAGCCCGATGCGGGGTTTGAACTCACAAGCCGTGAGATCATGACCTGAGCTGCAGTCAGTTGCTCGACCAACTGACCCACCCAGGTGCCCCAAATAGCAGTAATTTCTATGTGATTTTGACCCCAAACTTTATCATGGTCTCATCGGGGATTGACTGTGCGTGTGTGCGTGTGTTTTCCACGACATCTCAGAGAATGAGCAGCTCCAGGGAGCAAACCACCAAGTGAGCCCCAAATGCTGCTTTGTAAATAGAAAATGTCCCTGTTAGTGGATATGTTATTTAATTTGGATATGGGGAAGTCTTCCCCAGCAGAACGCAACTCATAGCTCCTAGAATTGGAGTCAAGGACTAACTGTTCCTCCCTCCCAGCTGCTCTTGCATCCAAACCACAATTTTCACTCATTTCACCCCCACCGAAAGTCTAGCCCTTGCTTAGAGGTGACCACATCACGCTCAAGATAACCTAATTAAAATGCCCTTTCAAAGGGGTGGGGCCTCGGCTTTCCCAGGCCAAGGAAAAAGCACCAGCTCCCCCGCACCACTTCAAAGGACTGTCACCCTATTCTCAGGAAAACTCTTGTAGACAATGCATACAGAACACTATCTGTGCACTGCGTTCAGTGGCATGGGGACAGGGGTGCCGTGTGTCTTCCATACGTGCCCCAGGTGGAGACTTCTCTCTGGTTTACCCACGATCCCCAAGGAATTGCTAAGAGCAGTTTTCTATTCTAGACTTTTCTCTTACTTGTAAAACACTTGCAAGAATAAATGAGCCAGTGACCCAGGGCTTTCATTTATTAAAATTTAATTTCTCATGCACGCTTTAGCCAAACAGATCTTTAATTTTACTAGCCAGCAGACTAAATGGGATTCAGGAATCCTAGCATGACCGTCTTGTACATTTCCCCCTCTATTTCTCCATCCCATCGATTTTATTGCTGGACTCTTGCGGATTTCTAAGGAAATTCCACTATCTGTGCCATGCTGTTTTCTTCCAGATCAGAAAATAAGATCGAAAGTTTCCCAATATGTTTTCCAGAAGAGCAAAATTCTTATTCTTAAGCCTAATGAACAGCAGTAAAGATGTGACCAGGGTCATTCATGAACCTAGACCATGAAGCTAACCTTTTAGAAGCAAGAGCATTTGAAAAATACCAAAACGAAAAAAAAAAAAGATAAAATCTGCAATTCCGTCCTCCACCGTTTAGAACTTCGACTGCCCTCTTCAACCACAGAGTGGAGGATCTTCCTCAGGCTTCACTCAGGGCAAGAGAAGCTGCCGGACGGAACACTGGAACCTTCATCGGCTGTGACAGTAGTACCATCGGTGGTGGCCACTGTGGCCCGGGCTCGCTCTCTCTCGTCTCGCAAAGCTTCTCCATACCAGTACGGGAAGGAAGTGGGGTCATTGCCAGTGACCTTGGAAAAAAACTGCAGGACTTTCATCTTGCTGGTTTCAGCGTGGGCCCTGGGACCCCACAGGAGTTCGTACTGTGGAGGATCGCTGTGGGGCACCTGCTGGTATACCAGGTACTTTTCCTGCACTAAATCTTCGGTGATGAGCTTCCTGGGTTCCCCATAGATGAAATCGTTCCTCCCAGCATACACTCCGATCTCGCTCAGCACCCTCCAGATCCTATCCTCAGGGGCACGGTCGCCCTCCATAAAGATCACACCCAGGATAAGGATCAGGAGGCCGGTCTTGGGCATGCCCTGGTCGTCACTCAGCATCCCATCGTAGGTGAGGTCTAGGGTTTTGATAAGCACGTAGGAGTGGTTGATGGGGTTCACTTCCTTCACTTCGAGGCCAAAGACAATCTCCAAGCACTCACAGGCTTTCTTGAAGATCACAGGGAAGTGGTTCTTGTGCCCTTTGATGCTCTTCAGCATTTCCGCCTTTGTGATGGGCTTCTTTGCTACATACTTGCCACTCAGAAACTGCAGCAATTTAGCTACCATCTCGTCCAGGACATCGTCAGGCAAGATCGCCGGGTCTGGTGGAGCCTGGGAGGCACCTGCATCCCGTCTTGGGCGGCCGGAGTCCTCATTTGATTTGCTCGATAGAGTGGCTTCGACGGCGGGGGAGGAAGAGCAGGCTTCCCCTGACTGCTGGAGAACACCAGGGTTTCCAGCAGCAGGCACCGCCTCTGGGGCGCCCTGGATCAAAGGAGAGAGAGGAGAAGAGGCAGTTTCCTTCTCCTCAGTTGCAGGAACCTGTGCAGCTACCAGGCCCTGAGCCTCTCTTTGGGCCTTAAGGCCTACTTCAAGCTCGTGGCTCTGACTCTCACTGTGAGACATGATGACCGGTGTCGGGGGCAGCAGGCAGAGGTATGGGCAGCAGGTGGGTGACGGCAACCAACTGGCCTGAGGGAGACAGGAACAGCGTGAAGGACTCAAGTGTGTCAGCTCCGACAAAGGCCATCATAGCAGGTGTTCCCTTCCTTAGTGCTCTAGGGATCTCCTGTCTTCCTGATTGGAGAAGGGCTGGACGGACTCTGGGGATCTCTCTTCTGGAACAGGGGGTCATCTGTCCTTACCTTGATGCCTGCCAGGGTGTGGGACTCCTCCCTCTGCTGACCTGAGGTCACCTTCCTTAACCCAAGACCTCACTGCCGTGAGACGAGAGAGGAGGAAGCCAACGGGGGGCCACATTCAAACGCCATGCCCTGGGTCCTATCTTGTCTGACGGCAGGGGCAGGGGCAGCTGGGCCCCATCTGTTCTTGAGTAGGGGTCCACCGCATCCTCCATCCTCACATTAACTCCTGGCAGAACCTTAGACTCATGCCTCTGCTAACGGCCTCCAGCTCCTTGAGACCACCAGGCAGTTCAAGTAGCAGTGAGGGTGCATTACCTCTGGACACTGTGTACCAGGCTTTCTCTAGGCAGAAGCAGGGGGGAGAAGGGGACTTATCTCTCCAAGGGCCAGAGGTGGGGAGAGCCCCCAATCCTTATTCAGGGTCCTCATTTTAACTCCTGGGAGAGCCTGGGGTTCCTCCCTCGATGGCCTGACATGACTCCCTCTGCTGGCGTGAGGCTGTCCTGTCAGACCAAGGCCTTCACTTCCTTGAGACCAGTGAGACAAGTGGAGAGGTGTCACATCCACCCATCCCTGCCCAAGATCTTCCAGGGCTGACAGCAGGGGTTAAGATCCAGGATGTTTTGGGATGGTGGCTCGATTTCGTCATCCCTCCTGGTACTTAACTCAGTGGCCAGCAGGAGCTGAGATGCCTACCTCTGGTGACCTGAGTGGCCTTTCCAGACAAAGATCCTTACTTCCCTGAGATCCCCCCCCCCATGCCAGCTGGAAACAGGGGCGGACTCAGGTAGACTGACATGCTCCTGGGCTACCAGGGGCGGGGCAGGTTTCTGTGGGGACCTCTTTGTCTGGAGTGGAAATCACCCTTAGCCTTCCATTAGCAATTCGTATTGAGCCTGCATTCCTTCCTTTCTGCAGACCTGAGGCTGCATCCCTCACCCCGAGGCTCTGTCTCCTGGAGAGGCCAAATAAGTGAGGGGGTGACAGGGGGTTGCAGGAAGATGCTTCTGCCTTACAGCTCTACTTAGAGCCTCGCACGGCTGACGGCAGGAGCAGGACAGGGCTGGAGAGCCCTCTATCCACGGCTGAAGGTCCTCCGGTCCCACATCAGAGTCCTCACCTTGACTCCTGTAGGGCTGGGGCTCCTCCCCCTGCACTTGAGGTTGCACCTCTCAGACCAAGGCTGTCCCCTCCCTAACGCCACCGAGAAGGGACTGAAGTGGGGCTTCGGCCTCCCGGGCCTGCCTGGTGTATACTAGGGCTGATGGCCTGGGGTTGTGTGGGTCTCCGCGCAATTCCCTCCGTGTTCTGGCTTGAGGGTGACCCCCAGCTCTCCTCAGGGTATCCCTATTTATTCCTGGGAGGGCCTGAAGCCACTTTTTGTTGACCTAAGAATGTTGCCCTCAGGGAAACGCCCCCATCTTCCAAAGACACTAGGCAAGGAGGTGAGCAGGGCGGACGGGGCATCTGTATCTGACAGCCCTGGCTGGGGCCCCTCACGGCTGAAAGACAAGACAGGTTTCTGTGGGGCCCGCCCTATCCTCTCGGCCCTAAAGATCCTCACCATTCTACCTGGCAGGGTCTGAAACTCCTCTCTTCGATCACCAGATATTGGGTCCTTCAGACCAAGGCTCTCACCTCCCTGAGACCCCCGATTCGGAAACAGAAGGAGGTTCCGCCTGACGCTATCTTCCGGGGTCCCCGGGGGCTGACAGAAGGGGTCACGAGAAACTTCTGGAGAGGTTCCTTAGGGTTTGGGGAGGGGCGGGGCAGAGCCACAGTCCTTCCCGAGGACTCCCCACGGGCTCTCGACGGGGCCTGCGCCCTCTCCCTTTGGCGAACCCGAGAATGAGGCCCGCAGGCCGAGGCTGCCATCTCCCAGAAACCACCCACAAGGAAGTACAGAGGGTTGGGGGAGGCGCCTCGGCCTAAGCGCCCTGCTCCGGGCCACCCACGGCCGGCGACCAGGAAGGGTATCTGCGTGTTCCCCCCCCCCCCCCCCCCGCCTTTATCCGGAAAGAGGTCCCCTCGGCCCTCCATAAGGGTCTTCACCTTGAGGCCTGGCAGAGCCCGGGCCTCCTCCCTCTGAGGACTTGAGTTCACGCCCCTCAGACAAAAGCCTTTTTTCCCCTCAGGCTCTCAAAATGGAGGCCCGGATTCGGCCCCGTCTGGGGCCCTGCGCGGGGCCTGTAAGGCAGACGACGAGCGAGGTGGGGGTGGAGAGCGAGAGCTCCTCCTCAGCCCTCATTCTGGGTCCTCACCTTAACCTGGCCACCCCAGCCGGCGGCACGTCCCTCCGACCACCGGGGCCCGCTTCCCGTCAGAGAAAGCGAGGCCCTCGGGCTCCCAAGATGGACGTTGGGAATCAACCACATCCGGGACCCCGCGGGGGTCCTTCCGGGTAGACCACAGGGGGTGGGGGAGGGGCGTTGGGGCACCCGCTCCGCGGTGAAAGCTACCGCCAGCCCTCCCTCTGAGTCCTCACCTGACGGGTGCTGGAGCCGGCCCGGTCCCTCAGGTGCCAGAGCTGAGCCCACGCCCGGAACTCCTCCCTCTGGCGACCTGAATCCACGCCCCAAGTGATGAAGACAGCCTCGCGGTCCCCCGGACCGCCCTAAAGCGGAAGTCAGGTACGTCACTTCCGGGAACTCTGCCTGGGGCCTTCCAGGGAAGATTGTGGGGGCAGGGAAGAACTCAGGGCCGTTTGTGTCTGGGGAGAGGACTCCTGGCTCCTCCTCCTGGTTCTTTACCTTGAACTCCCTCTTCTGACGGAGTCCAGCCCGCTCAGAGGGAACCTCGCTTCCCTCAGATTCCGAAAGGCAGGAGGCAACACATCCCTGTCCTCAGCCTGGTGTTTCCTAGAGTTGATAGTAGGGGCGGGTCCCGATCTACTTGGGATGGGAAAACCCCTGACCCTTACCTTGACTTATTGCACTGGCCGAGTCCCCCGCCCCCTGTTGAACTGAGGCCTCATCCCTCAGGTCAAGGCCTTTATCTCACCAAAAGAGGAGGCAGGCTCCGTCTTGGCATGACGGGCCCGAGTGGGGTCTGTCCGAGCTGACAGTAAGGGCAGGCTTGCGGCTCCCTATATATCGTGGGATACTCTGCAAGTATTTATATTTCTTCCTGATAGGGCCTCTACCCTCTGCCTTTCTAAGGCCCCCTGAGATGCCCACCGCACAAATGCAGACGATGTGAGTGGTAAGTGATAATTGTTCCTGGGGCCTCCCCGGGGCTGAAAGCAGGTGTGCATGCCTGTGGGGCCCCTCTGTTTGGGGTGGGTGGCTCATTCAGCTCTCCATAAGGGTCCTCACCTTAATACCTGGCAGGGCCTGGGGTTCCTCCCTCTGCTAGCCTGAGTCCTGCCCCCTCAGATCAAAGCCCTTACGTCCCTGAAAATGTACCCCTTCTCCAGTAGAAATCAGGCTCTGCCACATCTGGTCTCTCATGGCTAACGGCTGGGGTAGGATGGGCGTGGGGACCTGTCTCTTCTGTGGTGGGAGTTCTTGGTTCTCCCTCAGGGTTACTACCTTGACTTCCAGCACTGAGTTGGCCTTCGCCTTCCATGGACTTAAGCCCGACCGCTTTGAACCAAGAGTGGAACACAACCCCCCAGGTTTGTTGTCTTGGCACATACAGGTAAGGCAATAAATCTGTAAATAACTTAAGGACAATTAACATATTTCCGGCATTCTGAATCTGTTAGGAACATTTTATAGTTGTCTCCATGAAGGTCTTGAACATTTTTGTGAAGCTTTGTCTTAGGTGATCTTTGGATTTTCATGCCGTGGTGAATAGGATACGTAAACAACTTTCATAATGCACTCATCATCCTCCACTTCTTTGCGTTTTCCCAGAGACAAATCAATAAAAGGTTGCAGTGTCAATGAGACAGAGGGTAGTGTCTTTTTACAAAATTTATTTTTTCCAGCTTTATTGAACTGTACTTGACAAGTAAAAATTGCATGCCTTTAAGGTATATAATATGATGTTTCGATACGTATTGTGAAATGACTATGACAGTTGAGCTAATTAACATATCCGTCACCTCCCATAGTTACCACTGTGTGTGTGTAGTGAGAACACATGAGGTCAACCCTCTTAGCAAATTTTAAGTATATAGTAGAGTATGGTCAACTATAGTCACCATGCTGTGTATTAGATCTCCAGGACTTATTCAGCCCAGGTAACTGAACCTTTATACCCATTTCCCGCACACCTCAGCCCCTGACAACCACCATCCCACTTGGCTTTTATGAATTCGACTTCTCTAGATTCCATATATAATTGAGATCATGCATCCTTTTCTGTCTGACTTACTACACCTAGAACAATGGCCTCCAGGTTCGTCGATATTGTCACAAATAGCAATTATTTCCCTCTTCTTAAAAGCTGAGTAATATTACAATGACACAAGGGAGTATATGCTAATGAACAATATACAATATTACATATTAATAATATATAATGATATATTAATATAGATCACATTTTCATATATATCTCCCATTTTTATATATATTTCACATTTGCTTTATCCATCCATCCATTAATTGACACTAGGTCCTTTCCTTATCGTGACTTTTGCATATAACGCTGCAATGAACATGGAGCGCAGATAGCTCTTTCAGATACTGATTTCATTTTCCTTTGGATACATACCCAGAAGCGGGACCGCTGGATCATATGGGAGTTCTATGTTTTAAAGATGTTTGTTTATTTTTGAGGGAGGGAGGGAGAGAGAGAGAGAAAGAGAGGCAGAGAGAGAGAGAGGAGGACAGAGGATCCAAAGCAGGCTGTGAGCTGACAGCAGAGAGCCTGACGCGGGGCTCAAACTCCCGAACCGCGAGATCATGACCTGAGCCAAAGTCGGACCCTTAACCAACTGAGACACCCAGGTGCCCCGGGAGTCCTGTTTTTAATTTTTTGAAAAACGCTCCTGCTGTCTTCCATGACGGTTGCACCAATTTACATTCCCACTGACAATGTACAAGGATACCCTTTTCTTCACATCCTTGCCGGCCCTTGTTACTTCATCTTTTTGGTAATAGCCATCCTCGCGGGTGTACGGTGATGGCTCACCGCAGCTTTGATTTCCATTTCCCTGCTGATGAGTGATGCTGAGCACCTTGCCATATAGCTGTTGGCCGTTTGCATGTCTTTGGAGAAATGTCTATTCCGGTCCTTAGCCCATGTTTTAAAATTCAGGCGATGTATTTTTTGCTATTGGGTTGGTCAAGTTCCTTATATACTTTGGACATTAACCCTAATCAGATATGATTGGCAAATATTTTCTCCCATTCAGTACGCTGCCTTTTCACTCTGTTGATTGTCTCCTTTGCTGTACAGATACTCTTCAGTCTGATGCAATCCCCCTGGTCTACCGTTGCTTTTGCTGTCTGTGCTTTTGGTGTCCTGGCCAAAAAATCTGAGACCAATGTCTGGTTTTTTCCCCTGTAGTTTTACAGTTTCAGGTCTTCCATGTAAGTCTTTAATCCATTTGGAGTTGATGTTCGTGTGTTGTGGGAGACAGAGGTCCAATTTCAGTATTCTGCATGGGTATATCCAGTTTTCCCAATCATTTACTGAAGACGCTATCCTTTCCCCATTGTGTACTCTGGGCACTCTTGGCCAAGGTCACTTGACTCCAGATGTGTGGATGTATTTCTGATCTTGTTATTCTGTGTCATTGGTCTGCGTGTCTGTTTTTATGCCAGTACCATACTATTTGATTACTGTAGCTTTCTAATATATTTTGAAATCAAGGAGTGTAATGCCTTCAGCTTTGTTCTTCTTGCTTATGCTTTGGCTATTCATGGTCTCCTGTGTGTTTTCATATGAAATTTTGGGACTGGTTTTTCTATTTCTATAAAGAACACTGTTGGAATTTTGATAGGGATTGCATTGAATCTGGAGACCACTTTGGGTGGACATTTTAACAATATTAATTCTTAAAATCCACGGACACAGGAGTCTTCCCAATTATCTCCGTGTTCTTTAATTTCCTTCTTTGATGTTTTATAATTTTCAGTATGTAAGTATTTCACCTTTCTGGTTATGTTTATTCTTAAATATCTTATTCTTTTTGCTGCTATTGTGAATGGGTTGTTCTCTTAGTTTCCATTTTCTTTTTTTTTTTTTTCAAAAAAATTTTTTTAACGTTTATTTATTTTTGAGACAGAGACAGAGCATGAACGGGGGAGGGGCAGAGAGAGAGGGAGACACAGAATCAGAAGCAGGCTCCAGGCTCTGAGCCATCAGCCCAGAGCCCCACGCGCGGCTCAAACTCACGGACTGAGAGATCGCGAGATCGCGACCTGAGCTGAAGTCGGACGCTTAACCGACTGCGCCACCTAGGCACCCCTTAGTCTCCATTTTCAATTGTTCATTGTTTATGCATAGAAACACCACTGAGTTTTGTATGTTAATTTTGTAACCCAGAACTTTACTGAATTTGTTTATCATTACTAATAGTTTTTTGTTCTTGAGAGTTTTCTGCTTATATGATCTTGGTCATTTCAACTTGAACAACTCTGTTTAGCATTTATTGTAAGGCAGGTCTAGTGATGAACTCCCTCAGCTTCTGTTTGAGAAAGTCTTCATTGCTTCTTCATTTCTGAAGGACAGCTTTGAGTAGTGATGATCCCTGTTTCATTTCTGATAGTGATAATTCTGTCTTCTTTTACCCTGGTTAGCCTGACTAGAAGTTTATCAATTTTATTGATCTTTCCAAAGAACCAGCTTTGTGTTTCATTGGTTTTCTTTATTGTATTCCTGTTTCAATTTCATTGATTTTTTTTTAGTGCTTATTTATTTTGAGAGAGAGAGAGGGCGTGAGAGAGAGAGTGCACACACACACCAGGGACAGGCAGAGAGAGAGAGAGAGAGAATCCCAGGTAGGCTCTGCACTGTCATCGCAGAACCTGATGCGGGGTTTGAACCCACGAACCGTGAGATCACGACCTGCGCCAAAACCAAGAGTTGGACACTTAACCACTGAGCCATCCAGGGCCTCCCAATTTCATTGAGTTTTACTCTGTTTTTCTCTCTGCTTTCTCTACAATTTAAGTTGTACTTTTATTGTCACTTAGCTCAAAATATATATTTTAAGCCTCGGGGCTTTTTTCTTTAACACGTGAATTATTTAGAAGTGTGTTATTTAATTTCCAAAGATTTGGAGCAATCTTGCTATTGCTTTTTAGTTTAATTGCATTGCGGCTTGTGAACATACTTTGTATGATTTCTTCT